ACAAAGTCAAAAGACTCTGCATACATTCAGCCTTTGTGCTTGGTTAAACACAGTTGTGAGTTGAGCCAGAGTTACTAGAAAATTAGGCATATGTCAACAAAGAAAAATCTGGGAGGCGAATCAAACCGCGAGTTGACACCAGACGTTATTTGACTTTGAGGTGTCAGCAACTCTGGAGGAGTATGTCCAGTGGAGATTGAACTAGAGGCCTGGCTCCAATTTAGTTATCTTTCTGCTGCGTCAGGGAGCTATAGCCTGAGGAGTCTCTGTGTGTGCATATGTGCATGTGTGCGTGTGTGTGTGTGTGTGTTTGGTAAAATATACATAAGAAAAAATTTATTATTTAAACTTTTTAAATGTACAATTCCAGTGCATTAAGTACATTCACAAAGCTGTAATGGCTACTCATTTGCAGAAGTCATCTCAAACAGAAACTCTGTACTCAGTAAATAGTCACTCTATAAACTTTCCTCCCAGCCCTGCCTTTGCAGTCTTGCTTTGTCTCACCTCACATTCTGTAGCAGCAGCTCATGAAGGACTATTTCCTGTATGAGACCTTAATTTTATTAGTTTTATAACAGAGGAACTAATGGATACCCTTGAAATGAGCAGGATTGAAGGTTTACAGAAGTAGCTAAGGAAAGGTCTCAAGGCAGGGGTTGACTGGCTGGCAGAGTGGGAAGAGCATGGGACTCTCGATCTCGGGGTCATGAGTTTGAGCCCCACATTGGGTGTACAGATAACTTAAATAAGAATAAAACTTAAAATAAAACACAAAATGTCTCATGGTGACCACCACGGTGATGCTGGGGGTTCTCTGAGTATCACGGAGATTCTTGTCCTCCTCCCCCCATTGACGGGCACCTGCCTCTCCAGTCACTGGGCCACTGACCCTTAAAGGAGGTGGGGATGAAGAAATGAGGACTGCATGGGTTCTGCCTGCAGAGATATCTGTATTTTGGTCCCAGTGGCCGTGGCAAGCAGTCTGGGCATCAGTTGCTTTTGAAATCTTCCGAACTGATCTAACACAGAGCCAGGGTTGAGGAACACTGGAGGAAGGCATTCTTCATCTCCACATTCAATGGTGGTATCAATCTTTTACCTTCCTGGCTGCTAATAGGGACTAAGAGAGACAGGACATGTAAACCTTCCAGGATAATGACTAGCCCATAAGAGTGCTCAGTGAATGTAAATGCTTAGTATTTTAGAAATGACAATGGTGATTGATAAAATTTGTTGTTTTACATTATTAATTTATCCAAAACCACTCTGTGATATGAATAGTCTATCAGAGAAAGGCAAAGTGATAACAGAAAGATCTGTGTGTGTGTGTGTGTGAGTGTGATATTGTGTATTTCTGGGTTTGTGTGTGTGTGATTGTAAAACTGTGTACTGTGTGTGTTGTTGAGGGTGAAATGTGTGTCTGTGTATAAAGATTTGTTTCAGGGTGTGTGACTCAGAGAGAGCTTCACGAAGAGGAGATGGGAAATGGACCTTGCATGTGAGGTTGTAGGCTGTCCTATTCAGGCAGGACATAGAGGCAAAGAGAACTCCACCTCCCTGGTACAATCGAGTGACTCAGGGTGATACATGAGTGAATGGTATGCAGACAAATATGGCTGAGCATAGAGTCCTGGGTGGTCAGGGATTGAGGCTAAGGAGTGCCCAGGGATGGAGCCATGAATGCCCTTGTGTGCAATGCAAATGGTGGGCCTTGATCCTCCCAGCAGTGTGTCTGCAGTCTGAGCATCTCAGTTTTCAAGAGCTCCATAATCCTTGTGTCCACTGAGCATAGTATGTAACTTGAATACGGAATGTATTTCACAAAAGGGGACCAATTTGAGTGTCCCTATTTCTTGATGTGTTAAAAATTTATTATAAAGTCATTGCTAATAATTGATAATAGGAGATAGCTGTTACCTTCTATTTCTCAGTCAAGAGGTAGTATCACTTTCTGACTATAATTTGAGAGTTGGGTGTAACATTCAAAAACTCCTCTTACTCAAAAGGTGTGGAAACATGTAACCTTTAGTAATTCGTGGTTGTAGGAGTGAGATCAGAGTCACAGTTGGAAGGGAGGGTCACTTTGGTGTCAATGAGGAATATGTATTGCAGGAAAGTATGACAGAGCCCAGGGAGCCACATAGGAAAATAGACCCAAGCCAGGCAGGACAGGACTGGTGTGTGATGATGGCTGTGGGGATGAAAAGGAGGGGCAGCTCAGAAGTAAGGCTGTGAAAGCAGTAGGAGCAGAATTCAGTGAACTCTTGGATGTCAGGGGGATGTGAAAACAGTAAACTTATAAAGCTCCCCAAAAGATACCCGCATCTTAATCCCTGCAACTTGCAATGCTACCTTCATGGTAGAAAAGGACTTTGTCAATGTGATAAAACTAGACTCTGACATGGCCTTATTGTCCTGAATTTTTGTGATTGTCCTCTACATGAAACCCCATATATCTTAAAGATTCTATTATTTATTTATTTATTTGAGAGAGAGAGAGAGAGAGACCTAGAGCCTGAGTAGAGGAAGGGGTGGGGGAGGTGCAGAGGGAGAGGGAAAAGCAGACTCCCCTCAGAGCAGGGAGCTGGAAGCAGGGATGGATCCTGGGATCCAGGATCATGCCCTGAGTCGAAGGCTGAGCCACCCATGCGCCCCACAACCCCATATATTTTATATGAAAAAGACAAAGGGAGATTGACAGGCACAGAAAAAGAGAAAGCAGTGTGACCTCATAGGGCAGAGATCAGAGTGATGGGACACAAGATAAGGAATGATGGTTTCCAGCCATCAAAGCTGGAAGCAACCATGACTAGATTTTCACCTCAATCTTCCAGAGGTAGCGTGGCCCTCCTGACACAATAATTTCTTTTCTTTTTTTTTTTTTTAAAGTGGGAGAGGGAGAAGCAGGCTTCCCGCTGAGCAGGGAGCCCGATGCGGGACTCGATCCCAGGACCCTGAGATCATGACCTGAGCTGAAGGCAGACGCTTAACGACTGAGCCACCCAGGCGCCCTGACACAATAATTTCTGCAAAGTGTTACAGATTTTGAATCCTGTCATCCAAATGTTGAGAAAATAATTGGTGTCAGCCACTAAACGAACGGTAGTGTTTTGCAGCAGCCAGTGGAAACTAATCAGGTGCCTCATGGCTTGGAGTCTATTGAGAAAGGAAGGCTCATGGACGGTAGAGCAGGCTGCTGGCAGGCAATGTGTACAGTTTTACACATTCACCTGAAGTAACTGTGGAGTCCTGTATGGAGTTTTCCAGATGGCAGCTGGATACTCTTTCTGGAGCTCTCAGGAGAATGTGAGGGAAAAAGCATTAACCTGTTGATGAGTTGTCTAGGTGTCGGGCAATGTGCATGTGCAGACTCAAAAAGAGTAACTGAAGGGTGAACCCTGGAGATTCACTAAAAATTGAGAAGTAGATGGAAAACAAAGTATACCAGAGAATTCATAACATTGAATCCAGAGTGAAGGTGTGAGGACCAAGTAGGTTTTTGTGGTTGTGATAAGGACACAATATTAGTGATGCTGCTGGTTGAGAACCACGTTGAGAATTAGGCTGTGGGTATCCTTCTTACAAAACCATAGCAGGAATTTTTTTTTTTTTTTTATCATTTATTACCTTGAAACTTCATTTTTGCTGGTGGCCATGTGAATGGGAAATCTATAAAGTGATGCAGGACAATTCCTGAGCAAATATTTCCTCTTTTGGTCCCTGCTCCCCAGGCTGCCATGGGTAACTGGACATTAGGTCTCTGAAATTAACTACTGACAACACCCAATGTCCACTGCATGACAAAGAGCACCCCAACTCAAGGCTGGAGACTGTGGGATAATAAGAAGACATTTATAGTAGTGCAGAGCAAGTGATTTATTGAAGCAAGATGTTGAAACCTTTACATTTTCCAGAAGAATAAGTGATAATTGCAAGACAGACATACTGTATATAAGGTTCATATGAGACATTTTTTCAGGATTTCCCCCTGAAACAGATAAAAGAGAGAGAAGTTCAGTTATGCTGTTCCTGGGGATGACACCTTAACACAGACTCTACTCATAAGACATTGTCTGTGAAATTTGAACCAACAAAAGGCAAGTAGAATGGGCACAAGACAGGAAACCAGGGAGGATGGTAAACTAAATACACCTGACACAATTACAACAAACGATGCAAATCAGGAAAAATCCATTTTCATAGTCTGGCAAATAAAGCCTGAGGTGACCCAAGAGTAAGAATCATGTTTCTAATGGAAGGAGGAGCAACCCAGTATTTTTTTCTCTGCTATCCCAGGGTGGAGGACTCTAATTTTTCACTGCAGTGGGAAGACTGGGGTGAGAGATTGGAACAGGGGTGGGAGGGGACTTTGGGAATACTGCTTTCAGGAGAGTCCCAGGTTCATGGTGTGTAAATTCAACCAGATGGCACATGTCTTCTTAGCACTGAAAACCCAGCCTCCATGGGCATTTATGACTGAATCTGATGAGCCAAATCCAGCATTGGATGGGCTGAGAGACACCTTTAACTATCTTATTTCTAGACAAAGATATAATTTAAGTGTTTTACCCTCACATGTGACTACAGGAGATAGAGGAAGGAGGGTTTCTGGACATGGGTACGATAAGGGTGAGCACTGTAAGCAGGTAGTGGTGAAGTGGGCTGAGGTAGGGGGGTAGGTCTTGGCTCTGCAGAAGCTGGCAGAGTGCCCAGCCAGCTGCCCTCCATGCTGACAGAGGACCAGGTTCCCTCCCTTCCAGCTGTCTCCCCATTCAACACTCCCAACATGCCCATGGGATTCTGCTGTGACTGTGTCCACTCAGAGGGGGAGAACTCGCCCTCAGGAAAGCTTCCAAGTAAGGAGGCAGTCAGGCTTTGGCCCTTCAACATCACTGTTTGGGGCTCCTGGTGTACTTTCCCTCAGGACACTATGGGGAACCTGGCACCCAGGGAAGTGACCTGAAGAGGAGGAAGGTGCCCAGATGCTCCAGGCTGCCTTAGTGTAGCTCCCCAGGTGTAATGTCATCCACCCTGTGGCCACCTTTCATCCTATCAGTGGTGAGCAAGGAGGAAGATAACTCCACCACCTGTGCCCCTGACAGAGCAGCACCCTTACCGCCCTCCTGGCTGCTCAGCTGAGGAGAAGCCTCTATGCACAAAGAAGAAAGGAATTACCAATGTGTTTGCAATTAGTATTCTATTCCCAAGGAATATTTTATCTGTGCAGGACTTCACTTCCAACTTGGCCTCAATGACTTCTTGAGATGCGTTAAATTTCCTAACTGTTTTCTTGTAGATGGCTGCAGGTTGAAGGAGAAAGCTCAACAAATCATCTACTAAGGCTGGACAGGCAAACGCATTGGCTGGTGAAGAAAAAGAAATACAATCGATATATTGGAAATCACATTTCCCCCATGGCTTCCTGATGTTAGAACTAGACAGAAACCCAAAAGGTTGTATGATCTCATCCCATTATAGTGCCAAGGACAATGGGTGAATAGGGAAACTGTGACTTCATACTCAAGAGCAAACAGAGGAGCTAAGACTAGAATATCAGCTTACTGATCCTTAGTTCAGTTTTTATCCTTTTTAAATCACATTCCCTCCTTTCCAAAACTCTCCTGGTTTGATGGAATTTACTTTCTTTATAATTCACACAATTAGGTTTTGCCTGAATAGAATGACATCTTGTTTTTGTCTTGGATTTTGGGTTAGAGGAGATTTTAAAATCAATTTTTAACTGAATGGTAGAGTCAGATCTTTCCAGAGAGCAGAGAAGCCGTGGGTCAATCTGCAGAAGAGCAGGTCACACTCTTTATATGGTGGAAGATGACAGCTTGAGACTAAAGAATTGGATTATGTCATTGGATGCAGATATGGTTAAAAAGCTAAATTCATACATACAAACAAAACCCCCAGGTAATCAGTTTGAACACATTTGAAGCTTATACACAAAGTTATGACTGGCTTTTTTATTCCTGCACGGATGGACAGAATTCCTTAGAGAGGGTGAGAGACAGGGAATGGGGCTCTTTCCTAACTCCAATGGAACTGTGGCGAGACTTAAAGTGACCACTTTTCTTAATGTGGATTCTCTAACAATCCACATCTTTGTAACCATGCTGTAGCCAGGGAAGTACCCTATTAGGATCTTTTCTGACCCCTGATCAGATGTCAAACTATGCAAAGAATTTGAGAGGTTTACATCAGAGGCAATAGAGGGAAAGAGGAGGATGTTTAGATAGATGAAATAAAGATGGAAGAAGACTTGGGTCAGTATCAAGGATAAGAAGAAATACAAAAATATTGTGGAATAGATAGCCAGAATTAATCTAGATAAACAGAAATCCCATTCCTCAGAGTGTACTCATTCTATTACAAAATACTGGGAGCACTCCGAAGAAAACCAGGAGGACTGGTAGATATGGTGAGATCTACTCACTAGCAGATTTAGTGAGTGCTGCTCATTCCCAGAGCTGCCTTGAAGATTTATTATCAGAGACTAAGAGAACACTAGCACTTCTGGAAGTGAGAACTCTCCCCAAACCGTTCCAGCTGTAACATTTAAGTCTGAATCCATGAGTGAAAATGCTGTGGACTCAACTGGCACCTGAAAAACTCTGGGAAGGAGAATGTCTGGAAACTACTAGACATCAGCCTGTAGCCAAACCTAGAGCCTTGTCACAGTTAATCTCAGTTCATTGCTATAGCTACTCTAGTGGTATCTGTCAAACCCAAGGATGAGAAGAGACTTGAAGAGATTAAACATTTTGTTGAAGGCCAAAGCACTGGTAAGTGGCAAGGCCATGATTCACACTAAATCTTTTGACCTCTTGCTTCTGAAATACACATCGCAGATAAGGAGAGAGGCTTCAGTGGAAAACTCTTAAAATTTGCCCACAAGAATTTGTTGTAAAACTTCCAGGTTGTTGTAACTGACAAAAAGAACCTTGAGCTTGGGAGATGAGGTGGGGAGGAGGAGGGCTAGTACACAAGTGTAGGAAAAAGAGGAGAACCACTTAAGTTCACCTAGTTCAGAGAAGGGTACTCACCAGGGCTGGTGCCTGACTGATGAGAAATGATACTCACCCTCATAGCAGTAAAGAGCCAGAATGACCAGCAGGACACTCAGGAACAACCTCATTTTGTATTTTCCTGAGTTTTCAGCTTTATTGAAAGGTGAGCAATTAGGAGCTGAATTCAGGAGACTGGGGAGCCCAGAGCTACTTATACCTAGAGAGCCTCCCTGGTGCTGCCCAAATAAACATGTGGTTAGGCCATGGGCCTGGCTTCCAGCCCTAGTTTCCTCATTGAGTGCTCATGCCATCCATCAGTGTCACAGACTCCAATGACTTCGTCAAAATTCCTGTTCATAGCACTGCTGGCTGCATGCACCTCTCCTTTGTAGCAAAAATGGAGGTTGTAGTTTTACAAATCTATAGTCAGTTAATTGATGCAAGCCTGCCCGCCCCCCCCCCCCCCCCGCCGCCCCCGGGCATTAGCTCCTGACATGCTGGGTCAACTTCTGGTTTTGCTCATCTTTACTTAGCATAATGCCTGGCATACAGGAAAGGAAAAGCAAATATACTTGGGATAAATGATGAATATGAATCATCAAACAACTAAACTTGGTTAAGGTGTATCTTCAGTGCGAATAGATGCCCGGTATGCCAAGTATCCCTTTGGGCAGGTGAGGGAGAAAGGTTAGTAGCATAGTGACCCCAGTGAGAAGAATGAGTGGTTTTCGGTATCCCAAGAGAAGACAATGCCAAGAGGAAGACTACCTCCCCAATACTAATTTCCTATTCTAAGCTAATATTTTTAAAAATATCAAAAGATATTTAAAATCAAATCAGGCACTATATGGAGAAAAAGAAGCTCCTCATTAGTTTTACTTGTCAACTGGAAGGATCACACCTCGGTGTCATCAGGATCCAGGCAATAGATCTCCCCATACTGGCTCTTCCTCTGCCTCTCCCCAATTATGAGCATTCTGCTCTGTGGAAACACAGGGGAGCTGTGGAAAATTCTTACTAAAGGCATGGGAAGGTCAGTCTGGTTATCCAGAGGAGCATATGGGAGAGCCATTCAAGTGTATATAGAATTTTGACTTGAAGAAAAGGCTGGAGGAGGGATCCCAAGGAACAGCATGAGGGGAGACAAGAGGGCATAAACCATGTTCCTTGGGAATATCAGGTACCTAGGTTACCCTGAAACATACAATACATACAACAGTGCATGGTGGCAGAAGAAAGGCATTGTGACTGGAGAGACAGGATGGGCCAAATCAAGGAGAGTTTCCATTGTACTCTGTGGGATGTAGGGGCAGAATGGTGGGTGGGGTGAGACACATCTAGGTTTATTGGCACTAGTGTTTTCATGCTGGGTTTTAGATCTCTCACCAAAATCACATGGGTTTTTCACACCTATTATGATGGCTACTGTAAAAAAAAGAGAGAGAGAGAAAGAACAAGTGTTGGCAGGGATGTGGAGCAATAGGAACCCTTGTGCATTTTGGTGGGAATGTAAAATGGTGCAGCCTCTGAGGAAAAAAGCCTCGAAATCCCTCCAAAAATTAAAAGGAAAGTTAATATGATCAATTGAGTTCACCTCTCAGTACCTGTGCAAAAGAATCGAAAGCAGGGTCTCAAACACATATTTACATACCCATATTTATAGCAGCATTATCCACAATAGCCAAAAGGTGGAAAGAACCCAGTGTTCATGGGTAGATGAATAGATAAAGAAAATATGGTACATACATATAATGTAGGATTATTCACATTCAGCCATATAAAGCAAGGAAAGCTTGTCAAGTGCTACAGCATGAGTGATACTTGAGGACTGTAGACTAAGGGAAAGAAGCCAGTAAAAAGAGAAAATAGATCAATGGAACAGAATAGAGAGCCCAGAAATGGACCCTCAACTCTATGGTCACCTAATCTTCAACAAAGCAGGAAAGAATGTCCAATGGAAAAAAAAGTCTCTTCAACAAATGGTGGTGGGAAAATTGGACAGCCACATGCAGAAGAATGAAACTGGACCATTTCCTTACACCGCACACAAAAATAGACTCAAAATGGTTGAAAGACCTAAATGTGAGACAGGAGTCCCTCAAAATCCTAAAGGAGAACACAGGCAGCAACCTCTTCGACGTCAGCAGCAGCATCTTCTTCCTAGAAACATTGCCAAAGGCAAGGGAAGCAAGGGCAAAAATGAACTATTGGGACTTCATCGAGATAAAAAGCTTTTGCATAGCAAAAGAAACAGTCAACAAAACCAAAAGACAACCGACAGAATGGGAGAAGATATTTGCAAGTGACATATCAGATAAAAAGCTAGTATCCAAAATCTATAAAGAACTTATCAAACTCAACACCCAAAGAACAAATAATCCAATCAAGAAATGGGCAGAAGACAGGAACAGACATTTTTCCAAAGAAGACATCCAAATGGCCAACAGACACATGAAAAAATGCTCAACATCGCTTGGCATCAGGGAAATCCAAATCAAAACCTCAATGAGATACCACCTCACACCAGTCAGAATGGCTAAAATTAACAAGTCAGGAAAAGACAGATGTTGGTGAGGATGCGGAGAAAGGGGAACCCTCCTACATGTTGGTGGGAATGCAAGCTGGTGCAGCCACTCTGGAAAGCAGTATGGAGGTTCTTCAAGAAGTTGAAAATAGAGCTACCCTATGACCCAGCAATTGCACTACTGGGTATTTACCCCAAAGAAACAAATGTAGTGATCCGAAGGGGTACGTGCACCCCAATGTTTATAGTAGCAATGTCCACAATAGCCAAACTATGGAAAGAGCCAAGATGTCCATTGACAGATGAATGGATAAAGAAGATGTGGTATATATATACAATGGAATATTATGCAGCCATCAAAAGGAATGAAATCTTGCCATTTGCAATGATGTGGTTGGAACTAGAGGGTATTATGCTGAGCGAAATAAGTCAATGAGAGAAAGACATGTATCATATGACCTCACTGATATGAGGAGTTCTTTTTTTTTTTATTAAAGATTTTATTTATTTGACAGAGAGAGCACAAGCAGAGGGAGAGAGAGGGAGAAGCAGGCTCCCTGCTGAGCAAGGAGCCTGATGTGGGACTTGATCCCAGGACCCTGGGATCATGACCCGGGCCAAAGGCAGCCGCTTAACCGACTGAGCCACCCAGGTGTCCCTGATATGAGGAATTCTTAATCTCAGGAAACAAACTGAGGCTTGCTGGAGTGGTGGGGGGTGGGAGGGATGGAGTGGCTGGGTGATAGACATTGGGGAGGGTATGTGCTATGGTGAGCGCTGTGGACTATGTAAGACTGTTGAATCACAGACCTGTACCTCTGAAACAAATAATACATTATATGTTAAAAAAAAAAAAAAAGAAGATAGTAGGAAGGGAAAAATGAAGGGGTGGAAATTGGAGGGGGAGACGAACCATGAGAGACTATGGACTCAGAAAAAAACTAAGGATTCTAGAGGGGAAGGTGGTGGGGGGATGGGTTAGCCTGGTGGTGGGTATTAAAGAGGGCATGTATTGAATGGAGCACTGGGTGTTATACGCAAACAATGAATCATGGAACACTACATCAAAAACTAAAGATGTATGGTGATTAACATAACACAATAAAAAATCTGTATAAATCAACATGAAAAGATATCTTAGATGATGTAATGTATGGTGATTAACATAACATAATAAAATAAAAAAATAAAAAAAGAATTCAGCAAAAAAAAAAAAGGAAAGAAAATACTGTATGAGTCCACTAATATGAGGTTCCTAGAGTGTCAGTTTCACAGAAATAGTGAGTAAATGGTGGTTGCCAGAGCTGGGGGAAGTAAAATATCTTCAATGAAAATCGTGTCATCACATTAACAGTGGGTTGATGATATCTGGAAACATACCATTGTAATCCTCTGTACAGTTTCTTTGGGTTGCAAACCCTCCTGTAGCCAATAATAATAGCGGCAAGAAAATGAGTAGCAGTAATTTTGCTTGCTATCTATGGCCAGAGAATGTGGAAACATAATTTATCATCTTCAATCATTGCTCCAAATCTACAAGCCATTAGGTTTCCCGTTTAACAGTTGAGTCAACTAACTTGCAGAAGGTAAGAAACTTGCTCAATCTTGTTCAGTTTGGAAGCCAGTAGGTCTAGTTCAGGCATGATGTTTTGTGAATTGAAAAGTAACAAATTGGTGCTTTCAGTTGGGGGTGGCTGGAGGTGATGACATGTCAGATGGAACAGAGATGACAGTGAAGTTCTCTGCTTGCATCAGTTTCTGACTCAACTGAATTCTTCTGATGATCTTCACTTTCTTCATCTCTCTCTCCAGTTCTCTTCTTTGTTTACTTTTAAAAAATAGATTTATCCATTTATTTTAGAGAGGTGGGGGAAGGGTCCAGAGGGAGAGAGAGAATCTCTAACAGACTCCCGATGAGACCTAGTCTGACCAGGGGCCAGATCTCAGGACCCCAATATCACGACCTGAGCTGAAACCAAGAGTCTGCCACTTAACTAACTGAGCCATCCAGGCGCCACTTCTTTTACTTTTTAAAAAGGTAATTTACTGACAACAGCAAATGCTGTTGGGGATGTGGAGTATCAGCAGCTCTCATTCACTGCCTGTGGGAATGCCAAATGATACAGGTACTTTGGAAAACAGTTTAGCAGTTTCTTATCAAATAAATATAGCCTTACAGTACGATCCAGCAGTTGAGTTTCTTGGTATTCATGCGAAGTAGCTGAAAACACGGCTACACGAAATCTGCACGTGATGTTCATGGCACTTTCATTCATAGTTGCCCAAATTTGGAAGCAATCAAGATTTCCTTTAGTATGTCAATGGATAAAGAAAGTGTGGTACCTTCCAACGATGGGATATAGTTGTAAAATTCTCAGGAATTGATCTCTTAAAGATGAGCTGTAAGCCATGAAAAGGCATGGAAGAGCCTTACATAAATATTACTAAGCAAGGGAAGCCAACGTGAAGAGCTGCCTAGTGTATGATTACAACTCTATGACATCCTGGGAAGGCAAAATTATGGAGACAATAAAAGATCTGAGGTTTTTGTGGGTTGGGGAGGCAAGAAGGATGAATATGCAGAGTACGGAGGATATGCAGGCT